TATTATTGTAGCGAGTACCGCTCTAAATCAAAGTTTATGTTTTTTTTACCTTGTATTAACCATAAATTGCGGCGATGTTTGGTAGGTATAGTATACAGTACAGTATTATCATTAAGCATAGTAATTATCTTAAATTAATTATAATTATAAATAATTATTTATAAATCAGAATAGGACATAAGGGGGTCACACCAAACAAATAAATTTAATATTTTTTCCAATATTAAAAATATATTTATGATTTGTTTTTTTAATTATTAAAATGTATTTTTTACTTTTTTTATTAATACAAAAATTCAAATTTTGATTTACTTAATTGTTTAATAAAATTAATATATTTACAAAAAACAGAAAATAAAAAAAATCTGAGTGTTACGAGAGAATTAGGGGAAGAGGGCAGAGTGTCTAAGAACCTCTAAAAACTATTGGTAGAATAAAAAATAACTTGGAAAAAATATGTTTTATTAGGAAAAAACATATATAAAATATAAAATACCTATTTAATATTATTATACAAAAATAAAGACAAAAAATTAGTCAAACAAAAGTATAAGAACTAATAAAATAAAAAAAAAATTTCTAAAAACTTTTTTGTTTAAATTTAAAATCTCTTTTAGGTTTTATCAATACCTTTTTAAACCTCTACACCAAAGAACAATACACCTTTGCTACTCATCTCTTTTTGCCTGTTTTACTTTTGCAGAATTTTTAACTGTAAAGTTTAAGAGTTGGCAATCCCTCCACCACTAACTTCTTTGTTAGAGCTAGTAATTAATCCTCAATGTCATCAAGTTGTTTTACTGGCTCACCGATATTGCCAGTATACATGTGAGAAATGCGTAGTTTCCTTGCATGGGCATTCAATTCACTAAAAGTGTATGTAAAACTAAGTAACAAAATTTAAGATTAACTTTTTTCATTTTATGATGGAATTAATGGCCCCGCAGAAAGATTTGTTCTTGGCTAGTTCAGCATAAAACGTTTTCTCCAAGTATTTTTTTAGAATTTGTGGATTTTCTGAAGTTCATTTAATATATTAAATATTAATTTTAAAATAATTATTTAACACAATTTTAGTTTATGATCTGCGTCTTTTGGTTTATAAAACTAAGATATCTCTGTCCTAGAAATTTGGTTGAAAAGCGGTTCAGAAAGATTCAACGTCAAGCCTTTAAACATACGCGAAACGGAATAGCCTTAAACATAGGTGATGTTTGGGTTGTCGTTGGGTGTATGTTGGGTACATGTTATAAAATCGATGTTTATAAACATCAAGAAACGAAATATGCATCTTAGGCCCTGGACATATCGGAGGGTCAAGGAGTTAGTATTCGTGGAAATAAATATTTTATTCACACTGTCGAACTTAACAATATTTTTTATTTAAATTTCCGATTTAATATAATTGTGAACGATTCAAACCAATACCAAAATAAAATTATTAAAATTTTGTATTGGTTTCTATCGTAGTTTTTAACCAGTTTCATTCTACATTAGACAAAAACATACCTCATTTTTTCTTTGCAGGCGTCGAAATGGTAAAAAACTATTTAAGGGTTGTGAAGGAAAATAAATAAAATCAAAAATTAAACAAGAGGTATGAATATATTTATTCTTATTATGGATACCAATAGTATTACACCAAAACATTCATACTAAGCTACAATCTGTTAAATTTACCTTTTTAAAATAAATTTGTACTTTATAAAACAACAACTCGTTCTTAGTTTCAACAGTGCAAAAATACTACATTATTCTTTACCAATCTCTTTTAGTACAATGAGCTAACCAATATTCAGACTTTTAGTTAGTAATTTTTAACAGTCATTTCAATGTTCACATTTTCAGCCACAAATTTCCTTGATCTATTGACTTTAATTTTAAAATTACTGTCAGTTAAAAATAAGAGATCAATAGAAAATCATTTATCTTACTTGTAGTTAATATTTTTAACTAAAATAGATAGATTATCCAAAACCCCGGGCAAGAAAATAGTGTCTTATTCTAAGCTTAAAACATCATTCAAATGGTAAGCAGTTTTGTGATGCATTGAAAAAATTTTAAGCAGTTATTTTATAGCTGCCCTTCAAAAAATTATTATGTATTTATAATACATAACTGCATACCAATATATTTAAAAAGGCAAAATAAGTTACAAAGGAAAAAAGGTTAGTAAGAAAACAATGTTTTAATAATTTAAGAGGTATGATGTAAAAAGCTAGGCACGTTAATAGGCAAGGGACAATTTTAGACCCTCAATAATCAATTAAATGCACCAACTGTGCAACACAGTATCAAGATGGTATGTGGCTTATTTACCAATAATAAAGCTTGTTTATTGTTATATATTTTCACACTTTTAAATTTAAAGTGCCATTTACTTTGTGGTGCTTATTAAGGCTGGCTTCTATATTTTACAGGTATATTTAAAACACCATCTTAATAAATTTAAATAAAGATAAATAAAAAAATAGTATACATACAAATTTTAAGTATATTTTTACATATTTACGCATACTTATAACAATTATTTCAAAGTAATTAGCTACACAAGTGTTGGAAGAGTTTGAAGATATACATACAGTGCTTGCAAATTCAAGTCCGACCGGGTTGGGAAGGACGGTTGTTTAATACCCGCGTGAAACGAAGAAGGATAGAACGCCAAGCAGAATTTGATTGGTCAGAGCCAGCAGGCGTGCGTATTGTAAGCGCCTTCTGTTTGGCGTTCTATCCTTGTTATTTTCACGCGGGTATTGAACAACCGTTCTTCCCAACCAGGTCGGACTTGGATTTGCAAGCACTGTATACAGATCACTAAAACATAATAAATTAATATTCTTACAAACCCTATATTAAAAGAAGTTATTGTTACTAAAACGTTAAAATTTTATCCATTCTCAATATGAGAAATCCTTAAAAAAATAATTTAGGTATTTTTTTCTCTATGTACTTTGAAATTATTGTTTTGTACTACACATAATTATAATTAAAATTACTGGATTAGCAGCTCGTTCTAAGAAACTAAATTTAACAAATGCACAACACAGAATCTGGCGACAATAAATAAAAACAATTTGCAGGTTTTTAAAACTTACAATTACAGATTTGATCTAAAGAATTTTAATTAAAATATCACGAATAAATTATTTTGAAAAATCAGTACAATATTATCTAAGATCCATGTTAGAAAAATCAATATACATATATATTAGATGACTCCTGATTCTTACAGTACATAATACATTTTAAAAATTATTGGACCATGAATATACATAATATATAACTTTTAATATAATTCCAATTTTCACAAAAAATAATAATTTATAGAGCCCTTCTTTTTATTTATCAATATCACAGATACTTCAAAAACATTTTTTATTTGTAAAACCTACCTATTGTTTAAAACTTAAGTTAAGAATAAAATATTTTTTATGACTTGGTCACCTGATTTTCAAACACTTTTATAAACATAAAAGAAGTTTTATTTTACATGTTATGTAGGGGATATTCTACTTAAAAAGTTGAGGCATTCATTTTAACTGCCAAACATTTATTATATACGAGTTACAAACTACATAAAAATTTTAAGAATTGTCATCACTGGTTTAGTGCCAGCCCTATCTTGGCGAATATATCCATGTAGCAAGTCAGGGTACATCAAAAACAACTTCTAAATAAATTTTGATTTTTTTCAATTAAAATTTTTTTAAAAACTTTTTTAAGATCTAGGTTTGATTCTACCAATTAGACTTTTAAATGAACCGGAGGGACATGCGCAATACAAAAATAGGGACTCGTAATCGTCATTAAAAATGTAGTTTATGCACTCGCAAAATCTGCTACCTATTTAAAATTGTAAAAATATTGTTTAAAACAAAACAATAAGACTTTCTTATAAGGAATACATGTTTTCTATTATAATATATTATGCATTTATTAGGTATATGTGTTATTATACATTTTTCATATTAAATGACGCCTCTACTTTGAAAACATCATATACAGGGTGTCTCATATTTTAATCGGGAAAATGTATAATTGGTCAATTGAACTCGCAAAAATAAGAAGAAAAGTTCATATGAACTTGTATGCTTTAAGGTCTACCCATTGCTTTTTTAATATTTTTAGATTAAGCAATTAAAAATACCTACATCCATTTTTTCTCTTTCTTGCTTAATTTTTAAAAAAATATTTAAATTTGCGTTTCCGCTTGGGATCATAATTTTTCCAAGGGCAAGAAAATAAAAGAATTTAATTGTTTTCCTGAAAATTAAACAAGATAGAGAAAAAATCCAGTAGAAAAAAGTTATATTTTTAATTGCTTAATCTAAAAATAATATTAAACTTAGCATACTCAAACTTTATTTTTAAATATATAGTTGGGATGCCCCAGCGCCTAACTAAATTAAATTTAATAACTTTAAATTAAGCCCTTTGCCCATCACTACAAACATAAAAAGTTTTATTAATTTTAGCCTAGGAGTTTAAAAAAAAGTATATTTTAATAACTTTATCACCCTGTATCTCGAGAACAAAGCTGTAAAACAAACAATTTCATATATACTTTTCTTCTAGTTATATCAACCACTTAATTTTCCCAAATATAATCTGAGACACTGTTTATTTAAAATTTTATTTTTCAGGTTGTTGATATATTTCTTTTTAACTTGAACAAGATAAAAAAGTGACCAGAAATTAAATAAGTTTTGTTTAACTTTCATTAGCTTTTGCATTTTAACTATGGAGGGTAGAGACTCTCTGTATGCAAAAAATGTTCGTAAAATAGAGTAACTTTAAGATGGCGTTATTGTAGTAAATGTCATAAAGATGGCCGTAGACTCTACGGCATAGAGGTGACCTAATCATAGACGTAGTCCACAGCCGTTCTAACGACCGTACCAACGCGTGAGTCAAAGACGCGAGCGCAAATTAGGCGTACGATGCATCCTTCATATCTTACCCGGACTCCTCCTTCTCTCTACCCTTTATAATAATTAATAATAATAAACTAAATACCAAAAGTGTTTAACAAAAATAACTGTATTAAAAGCTGTTAAAATGTATATCAACAACCCGAATATTGATTAATTTTAATCTAAACAATACAACATTGTTTTTCCAATAAATACACAATGATAAAAAAATCTGTGTGAAATAACTTGTAAAAATACTTCACAATAAAAAAGCAGGTGTCATATTTTATCAGTTTAGATTGATTACAACAATACCATATTAAGAATTAACTTTGTTACATTACATGTATTTTTTTTTAATTTTCAAATTTGAATTTTGTCTGTTCCTAATTTTATCACAGATAGTTGCCAATCATAAATTTTAATTTTTACTTTTATACCTATTTATATTAAAAATAAGGTTTTATGACATATTCGTCCAAATAACATACATACAACCTAAAAATACCCTGTATGACTTTTTGTTTAAGTTAAAACTAAATTACAATCCACATTATAACTTAAACCGTTTACCAAAAGCAACAAAGTCAATCCGAAAACATGGCATCATCGTCGTAACTCGGGCTAATTGATGTTTGCGCCGTAATTCAATACACAGGTCTCGTCCAACAACGAGCCATCAGAAAACTCAGTCAAATTGTCGGTGCCGTTCGTATCGCTAAAAGCTGCCGCTGGTGTAGCAGCGACGAAATCGAGGGGACCGTGCTGTGACAGATCGTCGCTCCTGATTGGTTGCCCATTTAAAAGACAGTCGCCATTATTGATTTGGTAGGTAAAATTATCAGATGTGGTGGCTAGAGGCGTAGACGGGTACGATCGAGGCATCTCGTGTTTGAAATTCTGCCCGAACGGCAGAGGAGTACTAGGCACTGATCTCGATGGATTCTGCAGATTATCGGATATCGGATATTCTGGAATTTCCAGATTATTATTTACCAAGTGTAAACCGTATTCGGGTAGTGATTGATTTGTAGAAGACATTTCCAAATTGCAGATTAAATTCAAGTTGTTGTTGTCACAATGCGTGTCAAGAGCCTCGATAATTTGTTTTACTTGCGTACACTCGGATTCTCGTATTGGATCTACTTCGCTGAAATCGTTCTGAGGCATAAACATCATCTGATTCACTGGTACCGATTGCGATCTATAGCCTAAATCGTTTAATTCGTTCGGTAATTGATTGCTCAAAAATTGGCTGACTTCATTTGAAGCGTTGCTTTGCATGTGGATGTAATTCGGTTTGTAAGGCCCTTTGGAGTTTAATAATTTTTGCAACATTGGACTCGGTGGGGCCGACATGGGCATACAACTTTGATTGAAATTCTCCGATAAATCCAAACTGATCTCCTTTTTCACCTTGACTGTCTTTCCCACCATTATCCCGGCATTTTGATGCGCATTGTTTTTTGTGCGCGGAACCGGAGTGTTTCGAGGACTCACAAACGGACTGACTGTCGTACTGGAGCACTTTGATTGGATGCCGTTGGGACTTTGCGGACCGGGTGAGATGGGAGTAAAGCTGAAATTTTTGCGCCGGGTGTTCGGGCTAGGCGGTACCGAATTGTCAAGCCCGCGTGTGTCAAAACTTACCCGTCTACGCGTTGCCTGTCCGATCACGTTCGGCATGGTCGCAGCGAACTGCAGATGACTTAGCGTAGAAACCTTAAAATGAACATTATTTATACAGCGCAACCATGAAGTACTAGATACATGGAGATCAAGCTCGGATGGAGGGGGCAAGAAATAATGGCTACAACTTCGTCCGTTGAAATGTCGGACTGTCGTATCTAGTGCCTTTGTGCGCAAGCGCTAGTCCAGCATTCATTGCATAATTCATTCGTAATTCTTAAAACGCCCGTTAAAGGCTCATCAACTGCGAGCGGATTTGTAGCCATCCCCTCCACCCGAGTTTGTTCTCCAGGTTTCTAGTACTTCATAAGTGCAACACAAACTTCTGAACAAAGATTTGACATTATACATTAAGGGGCGATCAATTCAAACGCAATTAATCCGCTTGAAACAATTAAAAATTATTTAAAATTGTTTAATTTTAAATAAATGAATTTAAAAGTTATTAAATTAAGCAAATTTTAATTTTAATTATTTGTTTAAATAATAAAAATTGTTTTAAGTGGACTATTGCATTTTGATTGATCGCTTCTCAATTTTTTCTATAAAAATGCTTAAACAAATATTAGAAATATTCCCCAACACCAAAACAAAACACAAAGTAGTGTAAAGAGAAACTAACAAACTAATTTATACAAACAAGAGTTGGGTACCGGCCCTTTATCGCTTTTTAAAGATTTATTTATATTCTTGTAAATGTATAAACTTTCGTAGCTATCTAGCAGACTTGGTTCCCTAACTTCCTTAATAAGTTTAAGGTTATCAAATCCTATTCTATGACCATCATCAAGTATATGTTGGGCAACACTCGATTCCTCTGTCCTACCAAATCTAGCATGGGTCAAGTGCTCTTTAAACCTTACTTGGATGGATCGTTTAGTTTGTCCAACATATTTCTTGTCACAATCTTGGCAGTTTATTTCGTAGATCCCCGACTTTTCAATTTTACCTTATCTTTGGGGTTTGGCATTGAGAAATGTTTTAAATATTTGTTTAACATATCACCAAAGTTGTCCTTTTTAAGTATTAAAATGCTTGTTAAAAATTCCCAATAAAAATGGTGTTAATAATTTTTGACTCAGCAACTCAAAAATTACGTGATTATGTTCACGACAGTCATACATAAAGTTTTTTTTACCGTAATTTTCAGCATTTTTATAGCAAATTTTCACAATGTCCATGCGTTGCGTAAGCTTATATTGTTTTATTATCATAAACATCGAAGTCATACCTACATGGTTTTATCATTAAAATGAAAATTGACGACAATAAAAACAGCGATTTTAGTAAAATTCACTATATTTCTTTAACGTGTAGATAAATAATTTGTCTATTATCTAGGGATAAAAACTTAGAAATATCATAAGCCGAATGCGATAATATATTATACTGGCCAAAATGTGCGGCAATAAAAAAAAATTTGATCCAATTAATATTTTATACTATTCGATTATTAAAAAAAAAGTGAAACTTGGCAAGTCTATATTACCGTTTTAGAAGACGTAAAGTTTTACAAATGGATTTAAAGAATACTTTTTTTTTTACAAAAATACGCTTTTATGTTTTGTATATCACATTAAGGGACTTTATACATAACTTCAAACTACTTCCATAATGTTTTCACTCCTGTTTAATTTATTCAGCGATAAGTTTTTGTCAAATGAAGTTATGTTAAGAGAGTATCGTTTTTGCTGATGTAATTTCCAAACGTGCTTTTGGAAAGCCTAAATATGTGCTATGATCGTTGAAATTAACAAAGAGTCTGTGTTCTCTCCGTTACTAAAAAATAACGAATGTTGCTATAAAAGACACGCCCAATTTTTCTTAACGAAAACATTTCTTTTGCAAAGCCAATCTAAAGCAACATGTACCTATTATGTTTTTTTTCGTATTTTTCCGTTGATTCAAAATAATAAAAATAGGGTAATGCGTGAGATTCAACTGAGATCAGAGCTGTACAAGAAAAAGGTACTCAAGTAAAAGTACAAGCATTTTGAAAAAAAATGGACATTTAAAAAAATGGACTCAAGTACCAAGCACAATTTAAAAAAAATTGCAAAAACTACTAGTGATCACTCATGCGTACAAAATACTTTTCTTAAAAACTTATTAGTTTAATTTTAAATTCAGCCTACAAAAATATAGCAAAATATTAAAAACAACAAAATAATATTTATATTAGTGCTAAGGTTACAATTACTTAACAAAAAATAAAATATTTAAATTGGAGGGTATTATCCAAAAATTAATAGGTACTTATGTTTATTGTTTAGTAACAGTTTTTGTTCTACGTTACAGTTTTTTATATATGTTATTTCGCTTAGACCCTAAATAAAAGTTCTACTTTGTATTTTTTTAATTTCTATATTTTATGTTTTTATTAAGCATAAAAAAAGCCATATTAAATAGAATATCGCGATAATATCGTGTTCTGGAGCAATTATTTCCAATAATTCTGATTAACTAAAGCAACCTCTTTAAAAATTTACTTGAGTACACCAATTCCATTTTTTTTTAATTTTGAAGTAAAATAAGTAAGTATAAAAGATCTGCAGAGTATATAATATATAAGCATAAAATTAAGGATTTAGCTTAAAAGAGGAAGAAGTACGAACTGTTACTTCAATAATTTCCCTGCCATCTATTTCAGTTTCAAAGAATAAAGTTGGAACCCTCAAACAAAGATGACCCTATACAAAAAACAACAAAAACAACATATATAACAACTAAAGTTGTTAACAAAGAAAACATTTGTTTAAAATTCCACAATTTTTATTGACCTTTTTCTTAAAAAAAACATTAGTAAACCAGTCAACTGCATTGTACGGCTTGTTTATAAATAAAATAATATTTTTATTAATTTCATTTTTATGAGAAATATTTGATATAAAACTTTAAAAAGCCACAATAAATGAAAATAAAATATTTTTTGTCTTTAATCAGTTTATAATGTAAAGTTGTTGAAAACACTCGTTATTACCCGTCGGCCTTTAAACTTTGAGCTCAGCACAAAAATACTCAATTCTTGGCATAATGACATAAATAACTACACACACTTTCTAAATTGTTGCACCCCCTCTCATATTTCAAATATAAAATGAATTTGTACAAAATTTATTTAAGAATTATCTAATTATCATAAAAAATCCAAACAAAAATGTTTAAGTATTCAAATTCTGATGTAAAAATGCATACTGTTCAATATTTATTGGTTGATACGAATTAGTTTAATAAAGGTATAATATGCCTAGGGCTGGAATTATTGCTTTGTGGCAAGAAGGGTTATCGCGACACCAGATAGTCAATAGATTAAATATTGTTACAAGCACAGTTAGCAGGATAATTAGACGCTATGAAGAGGCTAGAAGTGTCAACCCACGATACGTGAGGATCGGTATATTACCCAATCAGCCCGTAAAAATCGGTCCATCATGGTACCTGCTCTAAAATATCAGTTTCAGAGAACGTGTCGAGTGTCACAATCCGTAAAAGGGTTTTAGCTTTAGGATTGCGGTCCAGAAGGCCTTTAAAAGTTACTTTGCCAACTCGTCACCAAACCGCTCAATGCAGTGGGCGAGAATTTATCAAAACTGGTGTTTAGCAGAATGGAAAAATTAGCTTCATACAAAGTAGTAAGTGATGATTACCAAGTAAAAGTTTAGAGGGAACCAGGACGCATATATAGACTTGAAACATTGGAGTTGCTCCTTAGGCGGTGGTGCGCAAATGTTTTGGGGGGTATTGAACATTATACCGAAGAAGAACTCCACTAATTCATATACCTGGCAATACACAATACGTAACGATGTAGGGAACCAGTTCATCTTTATGGACGACAATGCCAGTCCACATCGCACCAGAGTTGTTCAAGAAGTCTTGGAAAACCAAGCTATCCCTAAAATCAATGACTGGCATTGTCGCCTGACAGAAATCCCAAAGAACATGTATGGGATTACGTATCCATGGCCACTTTCAACCGGATTAATCCACCAAGAAATGAACAAGAACTTATTATTGCAGCTACAAAAGAATGAGAGAATATTCCGCAAGAAATAATCAATAATTTAATTATTGGAATGCCTAGACGCGTTGAAGCATCATTAAGAAGTAGGGGATCAAATACCGTATATTAATTTGTTCTCATATTCATCTATTTTCATTTTTTCTTATAATTTTAGTTTTTTATTTTTTAAATTTTTGTATCCCAATTTTAATTTGTTTTTTAATAAATGTTAATTGCTTTAAATAGGTAATATTTATTTGTCAGTTTTGTGTGATCTCTTCATTAAAATCTACCAATAGGCTTTTAAAACGAAACAAAAAATTTAAATAATCCTATTGATATTTGTAGAGAAATAATACACTTACTTTTAAAATTCTTGCACCCCCTAACTATTATAATTATAATATATTATACAGAGCTTCCCAAAAGTCCCGGGGATCACTAAAGAATTATAAAAAATACATTCTTATACAGTTTAGAACTTGCATGTAACGTGTTTTTTTAGAGGATGACCTCCCCAACATTTAAATCTCTGTCGAGTTTTACCTTATTTTAAAGGTAATGAAAAAAGAAACACATCCCCATAAACCAAATCCCGATATCTTAATTCTTTCAAGAGTTATAACGGGTTGACTTCCTAATGGGAAAATAACATGTTTTAAAGGTTTTTGCACGTTTATTACGATTTTATAACAAATGTTCAAATTGTCGACCATTTTCGATCTCGCAATGACCCAAACGCTCCTAAATAAACTTTTAAACCTTCAGGAGCATATCCCTAGTGGTTTCTTCAAGGGTGCGATTTTTCAAATCATTGAATGATTCTGGTTTTGTTTCATACACTTTACTTTTCAGAAACCCCCAGAAGAAAAAATCACACATTTACTCCCATAATACCAGCCCATACATTAATTTTCTCCGGTCTCTGAGTTTGATCTTCTCTTATTAAACGTGGATTGTCGTCAGCTTAATAACGAAAATTGTGCCTATTAACCTTACCATTTAAGTAAAAAGTACCCTCATCAGAGAA